GGGTATCTCAGCAAAGGTTTCTGTAATAAATTCTTACCAGTAGACCTGTGATCGTAATTAGGAGAGCGCTCTAGCCAGTAGGGTGCAAAAATACTACTTCATCCCCGCCCGCCCTTCCCCTGGTTTCCCGTGTCGCACGCTGAGCCTCCTTCTTCCACCGCCCCTCGGCTGTCTTCCCTGCCACCTTCACTTAGTCTCCCTCTCTCTCCCGCAGCAAGCTATATTGCGTTCTTTTACTTAGGCCGTACTGTACGTCTGAAACGGTGCTGGCGCATGCGCAATATCTCCCAAGAAGAAGAATATTTTGCCAAAATTATAAATTTAAAATAAAAAGGGGTTATCCCCGCATAGATTTCTATGATAATATTCCATCAGTAGACCTCACTTATGAAATAGGAAGCAGACCTTGCATGTAAGGTCTCGGCTGCATAAACCAATCAGTACACAATCTGGCTGCGTTACTGCTTTAGCGCATGCGCAATATTTCACAAGAAGAGTTATATTTTGTGCTGAAAATGCATTTAATATGGTCAAGGGATATCTCAGCATAGGTTTTTGTAATAAATTCTTATCAGGACACCTGCGTGTTTAATTAGCAGAGCGCCCTAGCCGGTAGGGTGCAAAACTACTACTTCATCCCCGCCCGCCCTTCCCCTTGTCTCCCTTTTCGCACGCTCAGCCTCCTTCTTCTTCCATCGCCCCTCGGCTGTCTTCCCTGACACATTCCCTCAGTCTTCCACCCCTCTCTCTTACATCAAGCTATATTACGTACTTGTATTTAGGCCGTACTGCACGTATGAAACGGTGCTCGCGCATGCGCAATATCTCCCAAGAAGAAGAATATTTTGCCAAAATTATTAATTTAAGGTAAAGAGGGGTTATCCCAGCATAGATTTCTATGATAATATTTTATCAGTAGACCTCACTTATGAAATAGGAAGCAGCCCTTGCATGTAAGGTCTCCGCTGCATAAACCAGTCAGTACACAATCTGGCTATACGTTACTGTTTTAGCGCTAGCGCAATATCTCACCTGAGGAGTTATATTTTGTGCTGAAAATGCATTTAATATGGTCAGGGGGTATCTCCGCATAGGTTTCTGTAATAAAGTTTTATCAGTAGACATGTGATCATAATTAGGAGAACGCCCTAGCCAGTAGGGCGCAAAACTACTACTTCATCCCCGCCCGCCCTTTCCCTTGTCTCCCTTTTCTCACGCCTCCTTCTTCTTCCACCACACCTCAGCTGTCTTCCCTGCCACATTCCCTAGAGACCTCACTTTTAAAATAGGAAGCAGACCTTGCATGTAAGGTCTCCGCTGCATAAACCAATCATGCAGTACCCAATCTGGCAGTGGCGTAGACAGGTCCTCAGTTGTGGAGGGGATGATTTCGCTGTTACTTCCAT